TCCCGGATGAAATTGGGTGTCTACAGGACGTGAGAGGGCCCTGGTTCCCTCGTGGTTAATTAGTCAGGTGTGGCAATTATCACATAGGGCGTAATTACCCCATATGTAGGTCTCTGCGAGACCTACGACGGGCATGACACTTACCACGTCGGGCGATATTCCCTTGGGGAGTCTCTGCCAAACCTATGCCAGGCGGGATTTTCTCCACGTTGGGTGTGAGAGAGCTTGGAGCTCTCTAGTTGAGCTTCGTGCCAAGTGAAATAGAAATTTCTCCGGGCATGACTCTGTTTTGTGTTGTGGGAATATATGATATATTTTAATGTGAAGATGAGTTGCAAACATGTTGGTTGAGTTGTTATTAAGTGTTGAATGTGTTTTGTGTTGTTGGAGTTGTTTTATAAGTTGTATGTTGTTTCATGTGTGAAATGTTGATGTGTTATTGAACCATGTTGAGATGATAAAGTTGGGAAGTTATAGAAATGGGTAGAGTTGATATATGAGTTATTTTGTTGAAAAACCATGTTGTTGAGCTGTTGTGTTGTTAAAAATGTGTTGTTTTTCTATGTTGATAAGATGTGTTGACCACTTAAGACTAGAGGAGATGTTTTTGAAAGTTGTTCATCCCATTGTGTGGATTGAGTGTGTTGTGGTGCTTTGAGAACCCAATTTTTTGAAAACCCTCCTTGGGAAGTTGTCCCTTGGTGTGGATGTCATGTTGTTCTCCTCTAGGACTTAGTTGGTACTGTGTATGGGCAAGGTCAAGACACACATGTATGAAGCGACCACAGTATAGGGGTCAGGTTGAGATATACTGATTACAAGTGACTAAAATCGAGTAAAGTACGAAGTTGAGAACTTAGTTCCTAACCAAGTATCAAAAGGTTGTAGTATTTGGAGGATAGTTAGTAGGCTAACCCCATAGGAGGCTTAGTTAAGCTAGCTAATACCGTGGTAGGCCTATACCTAGTTGTTCTATCCTAACATAGTGCTATACTTCCTTGTTTAAGTGGCGAAGTTTGAGAAACTGAGTTTTCGTGTTGTGGGTTGATATCCAATTTGTTGTTGATCTAGAAAGCCCAAAAATATCACTTGTGTTGTCGGTTTGGTAGGATCTAGCTACTTAAACTACTCACCCTGTGTTGTAGGAGATCTTCGAGTTAAAATGCGTAAAAATGCATAGAGATGATGTGTTGAACTGTGTTGATAAGTGTTGTTGTGTTGATTCAATGTTGAAATGTGTTGAGATATTATGTGTTCTTCATATGTTGGTTGAATTGTGAAGAAATGAGTTGTTGTGTTGATTAAAAGTTGCATTGTGTTGTGTGTTGTATGTTGTGATGTTAAGTTGTAGAGTTGTTTAAGATGTGATGATGTTGTGATGATAATAGAATGTTTATATATATGTGTGTGTGTGTTTTATTTTCTTTACCTAGCTTACCTTTGCCTATTTCCATGTGGTATGGATTGCGATAATCATACGTGGTATGGGAGCAAGACAAGGATAAACTGAAGTATAGTAGTGGAGGCCACCAGTAGCGTAGGAGTTGGGTTTATTTTGTTGACTACTGGATGTAGTAGATTTTTGTATAGTTGTTCATAGTTGCTTGCAAAGCAACTCAATTGTATATATTTATGTATATATTTGCCTTATATATATATATATATATATATCATGGTGGGTTGTTACACATGACATATGACTATTAAACATAATATCATTTTAATCCCTAAAACTATAACACTATGTTCCTTTAGTCCCTAAATGTTCTCATAAATTTATTTTAATCAAGTAGTTATGATTTAAATATTTACACAATAAAATAAATAATTAAGATAATATTGTAAATATGATGATAAATATTCATCTTTCAATTTTCAAGTTTTTCTTTATATTTTTTAATTCATTTTATTTTATAATATATAAATAAAATTTTTTTCCAATATATATCTATATATATTATTAAAAAAAATTTAAAAATAGAATATCAAAGAAATTAAAAAATGTAATTTTTGGGAAATGAAAGTAATAGATATTTTTTACAATAGAAAAATAAAAAATAATTTATATAAGAGAATTAATTATGAAAATAAAATATAAATAAAAATAAATTAGAAACTATTTTTATTGAAATATTTTAGAAAATAAATGGATAAAAGAGAGACGAAATTGACAATTAAAAAAAGAGATATAGCATATTTAAAATAAAAGGTTAGTATTTTAGTTTGTGTAATGTACATGTTAAATTTTTATTATATATCAATTAAAATTTAAAATAAATTATATATATAAATGAATATTATGTTTCAATATAAATTATGTATAAAATTTGAATAAATAATAATTTTTAAATATATAAATTATATATTAGATTTATGATAAATAATTTATATCGAAATATATGCTTATTTTTATTTAATGGTAATTTTTTAAAATGTTAATATTTAATTCATAAATATTTATGAAAAATAAAAAAAGAATTAGATATAAAATTTAAAGAGTCCTTACAAATCTACTCATTGAAGAAACGTCCCCAAAAGTATTCTTGGATAATATAGTTGTTCATGTTTTCTATATAGAGATGATACAATGTTAGATAAATTTTTTTTAATATTATTTGAATATATTTATCGTTCTATTTATAATATTAATTTAATTATCTATTTTATTTTGAAAATATTTAAATTATAATTAATTAATTAATTAATTAAAATAAAATTATGATAACATTTGAGGATTAAAGTAACATCAAGTTAAAATTTAAAAACTAAAACAACATTAAATTACACTTTTAGAGATATAATGTTATAGGTTGAAAAATTAAAATAATATTATATTTTATAATTATATATAATATGCAATATATAAGTCACATGACACATTAATATAATACGTATCACTTCACTCATATATATATATATATATATATAATTATAATGTCACATGATATTATGATATTACGTAGACATTTTGATTTAGAAAAAAATAAAACTTATTTAACCAAAAGATTTAAATGAATAACATATTACATTTTTAAAAACTTTTTTAAAGTTCATTAAAATCAAAACTAAATTAAAAGTGATATACAATTTCATAAACTAATGTTACCATTTCCTCCCAATATAAAGCAGGTCTGTAATTAAAGTTTCATTCGCTAATTTTGATCAATTCCGATTATAAAAAATCTCCTGTAGTTCTCTCCCTGTAGCTTTTTTTCTCCCACCACAAGGTGCATCTCAGGGACGGTGTATCACAAGAATTCTAATTAAATCCATAATAAATTAAAAGTGGTTGAACATAATTTAATTTGTACAAAAAGAAAAAAAGTTGTGATTTTCAAGTCATATACTTCTTTGTTGTTTATTGAGGTGTCCCCACACTTCTAGAATTAATTAATCCCTCTAAAAAAATTTGGCTTGACGTGGCACAAATGTATTTTTAAGTAGCATTGAGCCCTACAACTAGACCTATAGAGTAATTAATATTAAAATAAGTTGATTATCCTGCAAAAGGATCTTTCAATAGAAAAGTAAACGATGAATAATTTGCAGTGATATAGAAGGCTACCTAAACATATGTATTTGGACAATTATGAATTATCATTGTACACTATTTTTCTTTTTGTGAAAAAGTTAGGAAAAGAAAAATAAAAAAATAAAAAATAAAGAAAGGAAAAGGGAGACTGGTAATCGGAGAGAAATAGAAGAAAAAAAAAGTATAAAAAAGTGTAAATTATTGAATGTTATGTCTTTTTTGTTTTTATGTTCAACATAATCAAATACATAAATTTTTATTTCTATATTTCTTGATCAGTCAAAGTTCCAAGATGATACACCCTTTTGTCCTCACTTACCTGAAGATATTCTTAATTAATTGTGGAAGGCATTCATTACATAAACCAACAAACACATCCAGCTTCCTAGTTGTGGACTGTAAATACTACTTAAAAGCAGCCAAGATTTTTTTATTTCCTATGACACGTCAACTTTGTCATATATATTAAAATAATGATTTATCAATCTAACTTAATATTATAAAATCAATTTCTAATGTGAGAATTATTTTTCACTTATATATATTGTATGAATTGTCCATATTGACAAATAATTTTCTTGTCATAATTCATCTCTTGATCACAAATTTGTATAATCACAAACATTTATAATTTGAAACATGCGATAACACTATTCTTAAAGACTTGTTGTGCGAGCTACAAATTCTCTATGTTATAACACATTTTTGCAAACAATGATAAGATTAACAAAACTAGCAAGTTTCCAAAAATAATCCAAAAGTGAAAAAGAACATGTATAGGGAGACATGCCAAAAACTTTGTGAAATAGTTGTATATATAAGAAAAGAAAAATTATTTCTCAAAATCATTTAATACCAATTTAACAAATTAAGAAAATAAGATAACAACTTTTAAATGATCAAATAAAAAAGATAAAACAAAATTTAATGGACAAAATTAATTAAAACAATTTTAGTAAGTCATTAAAGTAATTTTCTAAAATATAATCAAATAAACATATTAATCTTTTTGAAATATTACTCAGATATACAATAATATGTACTATTATGATTTCATTTCTAGCTAATGTGGATCTTCAACAAACTTCTTTATATTAAAAACTAAACATCTTGAAAATAAAATTTATAAGATTGAATATTTACATGTAATCTGATAATGACTTGATTGTAGATAACTCGATTGTAGATAACCAATAGACCTAATAATACTTATTAAGATAGATTTTATATTATTATTAAAAAAAAGGTGAATTATAAATGTAGTTGTAGTCAACTTTATAAAATCAGTTTTGTAAAATCAGTTTTTTTTTTTTTATGATAGACCAATCCTATTTGCAAGACAATAACCATTAATGGTATGAAAGATTTTTCACAGGCAAGAAATCAAACGAATGATTTTTATTAAATACATCGTGTCCACAACCACCGAGTAGGTTGCCTAGCCTATTAGATTATTAAAAGCCAATATTGAAACCTTTTCTAAGTGTCTGCATTCGTCAGATAGATATAGCTCTAAAGATGCTATGCTAAATATGAATTTTCTACCCAGATACACTAAATTAAGGGAGGAAAAAACAATCCAATGAAACACTAGTCTTGCAAAATCTCAATTCTCAAGAAGATGGTCAATTGCAAAATCATTTGTAACAATCCTTTGAAGAAACATTTGGTAGTGGTCATGATGGTTCTTTCTTTCATTTCTAATATTCATGCCCAAGACAGTAGTGACACAGATACCATGCCAAATCTCCCAGAACCTGTTCGACCAAGCAAGGTTGTTGTAATAGTGGTCCTCTCAGTATTATTGACCTTATCAGTTCTCTTACTTCTCTATATAAGGTTCCGCAGAGCCACTTCTCCTGAACTCTTTGAAAGCCGCCATGTACCCAGTTTTCAAGCACTAACTCGATCATTGTCAAGGCTTTCAGGGATAGACAGAGAAGTGATTGAAACACTCCCATTTTTCAGATTCTCTTCCCTTCAGGGGTCCAAAGAAGGGTTGGAGTGCACGGTTTGTCTCTCGCACTTTGAGGACACTGAGATTCTTAGGCTCTTGCCAAAGTGCAAACACGCTTTCCACATGAGTTGCATTGACAAGTGGCTTGAAAATCATTCTAGTTGCCCTCTTTGTAGGAGCAAAGTTGACCCTTTAGACATCAAGAATTTCACTCACTCAGTGAGTTCAAGGTTCCTCAGGGTTCCTTCAAATTTAACCGAGGACACCCACGTTGAAATCTTTGTTCACAGGGAACCATCCCATCGAGGGTCATCATCAGGGTATAGCATTGGAAGCAGGTTTGGGAATTTGGGTTGGAGCAACAAAGAAGAACAACTTCTCATTGATCAAGAGGTTTGTGGCACAAGTGGGAAACACGTGCATAGGTTCAATCACAAAATTGTGGTCTCCGATGTTGTCACAAGGAGCAGGTGGAGTGATCTTAACTCTTCAGACATGTTATCATTGAAGAGTGAGATGCTACATGACATGGCAAGCAGAAGATTCTCTCCCTTTGATGAAAGTTCGTTAATGATAATGAATAGTGATGAGAAGAGGTCTTTGTCTGAGATTGCTCGTGTTCCTAGGTTCATAGAAACGTGCAAGATGAATAGAATGGAAGAAGGTGTAGCATTAGGTGGGAACAATGGGAGGGAAGAGAGGTTGAAGAGGATTTGGTTCCCAATTGCTCAACGAACAGTGCAATGGTTTGCAGGACAAGAGAGGAACTCGAGAGAATTAGAACACAAACATCTAGCTCCAAATGCTTGATCATGGAGTTGGAACAACTTAGCAACTAGTAAGAACTGTACAGTTTTTTTTATGGGGTGTGCTCATCTTAATTTTTTTTTCTTTTCCTCATTGGTGTTTTAATTAGAGATATAAGGTCCAACAGGAAAAAGAGTTTAAGGTGTTGAATAAGTACTTGTTATATAATTACTTATATATATAAAGAAAACAGAGAAGATATAGACTGAAATTCAATTTTCATTAAAAGGTTGAGATGGATACAACTTGGAACAAAGATAACATTGAGGTTAAGGTTAAGGTGCAGAAATTACACTTTCTTCTACAATTGATACAAACAGATATGAAATATAATGACATTATGTAATTGATATATGTGTGGTAATTCCAACAATGATGCCCATAATTTTATTAAAAATGATACATTTTTTTTATATAAAATATTTATTTTCTCCATGATTAAATACATAAAGATACAAAATATTATCATTTAACTTTTTAATAGAAATTGAAAGTTTGTTAATTTTGCTTGAATAAGTTGAAATTTATGAATTGACACCATTTATAGTGTGGTTGGTGCAAGAGAAAGATAGTGGAAGAAGTTAAAGGTTGTTTGGTAGAAATGAGATACAACGAAAGACGAGAGAAAAGATAGTATTTCGTAAAAAACACTTTTTTTCCAATGCAAATCCTCAACATCAGAAGGTTTATTATTGCAGTGCAAACCTCGGTACATGTGAACATTCTGCGTTGGATTCTAACAATGGACCAAAAGAAAATAAAAGTATGATTCTTTTGCCAAATTTAACTAAGTAAAAGGAAATCCAATTCGGTTAAATGCAATATGAATTGGATTGATTTTAAAACAATTTATTTTATGGGGGTAGGGATTAAATGTTATTTTATTTGTATACCAACAAATTGAACTGTGCATAGTCATAGCCATAGGGAACCGAATTTGCCTGTAGAAAATGCTTCAAAGAAAATAAAAAATTGTCACATCCCCCAATTAATTGGTGGTTAGTTGTTAGTATTTTAATTTTTAGCATAATGTTAATTTTCAAATGGGGAAATGTGGTTGGAGACAGTTGAGTTGAACCCCCGCCAATGGCCACATTTCCTCTTTGAAGCCATGTGTGTCATGACACCAATCAACAGCTACCATCATAACTTGCTCTTCAATTATCTCAAGACACTTACTTTCCCTCTTCCCAAAATCTTGAATGAGGGCATTTACCTCATGATCTGTCCAACAATGCATCTGGTAGGATTCTGTCATACTCAGGAAAGTTGGCATGGCATAAGCATATCAATCAAGTGTTCTCTGGTGAAGTGAGTGCCATTGCCATGACTTTTGCCACAATTAGAAACACGTGTAAGTGACACCTTCAAAATCCATGTCTGAGAAATAAACAGAGTAATTGTCTCAGCAAAATAGTCTGCGGTTAGTGTGTAGCATTTGTGATAGAATTAGAACACAAGCAACAACCAAGGAAAGCATAATGATAAAAACATCAGAGTGCAGGTTCAAATTCTAGTTAATAATAAAAATAATGGGAGAACCACTTCACAAAAGCTAGCTCGCAAAGTCTATTCCTAACATCCCACCATGCTCCCTCTGATTAGTCCTGGGCGAACACTACAATGCCAATATCACCACGGCGATGCAACTGGGAGACATGGTGGGAATGTCTCTTACCAATTGATATGAATCTTAGGAGAACCACACCACAAAAGTTAGCTATTGTAATGGGAGAGTCCAAAGTCTTATAAACTCTTCACTAAAAACCCATAATTCCGGCGTGGGACTTGAGTTCCCATACCTTGCAATTGGCTCCTAACAGTTAAGCTGTTCCCTTACCTATCGTTTGGTTGATGAAACTCGGCGCAGTGAAGGAACAAAGCCTCCTGAGGCACCAGATTTGTTCCCAAATCCGTGACCCACATTTGATGTTCCTGCATTCCTCACTTGTTTTGAGACATTTTCTGTGGAGACTCTGGGCATGAGAGTTGACATAGATGAACCATTGTTCACAGTCTGAAAAAGTTTTATGCCAATCAAAATGTATTAGTTCAGTCAAATATACGGGTCATGATTAAATTAACAACTCTATAGCAAGCAGAGAGGATCAAGTCATCAGAAATGTAGAATAGTAATTTGGTCCATGGAAATATATTAAACTTGCAATTTAGTGCTTAAATAAATTATGTACATGGATTTGTTCTTAAATTATTCAAATTTATTCAGTCTTACTCCCCACCTGAGATGACAAAGGGGGTTAACTAGAAATGAGTTTAAATAATGTAAAACTAGTTTGAATCAGGTTCCAAGTTGTGAGAAAAATACATTCCCAGGAACCAAAATATAAGTTAGCCTCTATTATTTATGAAAAAGGGAAAGAAGCAAGAAAACAAGGGTGAAACTTTCATCAGTAGTATACATGTTTCTCTGTTGGAATCTTTGCATTAAGATTCTGAACATTAGACGCTGTGTTACAAACACGTGGATGATCAACATTGATTGATGGTGTTGCCACAGCAATTTGAGTGGAATCATTGACTCCTGTAAAAGGAATTGAAACATCAGGCGGTGTTCTATAGAACAACATTCCTTCACAATAGAGTAATCTTATAATGTTATCTCCTTCTAGAACTGTTACTGCTAAACAAATCCCATATCAAAGAAAATACCAGCTTTGAAAACAGTAAATCGGTAAACAGATAACCATGTTGATCAATAGCTTAACTTATCAGATGCTATTATATTTTTCTGATTTAGACAGAAAATGTCCATGAAAAATGATTCACAATGGGCATTAAAAAATCACCTCAAATTCCTAAGTTATTCTGCTGGTAACTACTACCTCGGTCCCTAATTATAAGATTATTTCAACTAATTCACATCTTTTAAGAAAAGTAGTTAATTTAGTTAATCACATTAAATTTGACAATAATGTGTAATGTTCTTCCAAAAGTACCCTTCACTTTCTTTTGAAATTAATCATCTCTCCACTTAATTGCTTTTCATCTAAGTAATTAATGTTTGGAGAGAGAATAATTAATTAAGGGTACTTTAGGAAAACAATAATTAATACACCTAGAAATTAAAAGAGGATCTTATAAAAAGGATAAGAAATTTTCTAAGAAACAGTCTTATTATGAATAAGGACGGTGGTAGTATGTTTCTTGAAAAAAAAAATCCCAATTGAAAGAATTGATTCTTCAAATACATGATACAAGGCTGAAGTTACCTTTATGATTATCCTCATCCAATGGTTCAAGACAAGTAAGCACAGCATGTGGTGCCTGCAATTGCAAAATACTTAAGTGAGATATTAAATTAAATCAGCACATATTTAATACATAAGTTATCCGAAAAGCCATACAATATTTCACATTCCTGTAAATGAAATCGTGAAAGCCTGAGTGCTTATGTTATGGCAGGCAATTTATTTACAATGGCTATTAAAACTAGGCTAATAATGACTAACAGGAGATTGACTCTGTGTCTTCTGCTGTTGCATCTGCTGATATTTTAGAATGGTCCAGTCAAATAAATAGTCGGAATCGTATCCTGCCAAACAAGATTTTATTACATTAACAGAGAAGATGAATACAACAAAGATGAGACCACCAGCAATACAATAAGTCCAGAAACGCAGCAATGTATGAAACTGTTAAAATTTATGTACAATGAATAAAGGATGCAAAACAATAAAACCAGCAAAACTAATAAGATTTAAGATGGTTTTATACTCAAGTAGATCTTATCTCCAATCTGTAGCTATGTAATCAATAGTTAATAACTTGGTGCCAAAACAGAGATACTTGGCACCAAGAACCTATTTGGATAAATTTCTCCATAAGCACTTTTAGAAGAAAAAAATAGCAAAGAAAATTGAAATAAGCTAAAACTAGCTTATGAACAAGTTAAAAATAAGATTTTGGAGAAGCTAATAGGAAAAATTTTCTATAAACAAACTCCAAACCTAGCAACATCCAAGGAAGAAAAATTAAATACTCAATATGAAACATCTATACATCTTAGGGTATTAGTGGATCCTTTTAAAGCCCAACTGTCAAGCTTGAACAGCATAATCATTTGTGGCCTGGAGGTAATCAATTCTCACAATAATGACGCTCAAATTCACTATATAGTGGAAAGGTTTCATTTCAATTAACATGTCATGCTTTCATAGTTAATGTCAGTAGAACTAAAATAATCAATCAACATGCAAATTGAGGTAATGAATAAACCATGATTCACATATGAAAAAACAGACAGCCAATACCAATACCTGCACGGGTGAACAAATTACGAAATAGGCGTCTCAAAAGTCCATAATCTGGCCGTTGATCAAATGTCAAAGAGCGGCAATAGTGAAAGTAAGAGGCAAATTCCACAGGATATGACTTGCAAAGTATCTGGAAACAAGAAATATAGTCACCGGTCAGTAAACTTCTTTGTATAACAAAAACTTCAATAGGAAAATCTCCCTGGGGGCAATATGCTAAACATCGATTAAAACAGTGATAGCATTATTTAAAAAGCTTATAATAAGATTATATAGTCAACTAAGTCAAGGATTCAAGTCCGTAAACCAAAGTTGGGAAAGTATTTGCTATTCTGCTTTACCAAGTTTTGCATAATTCTGTTAGGCCTCTTATAAGTAAATATTATAAGAGGAGTGTCAAGACTTAGGTTTTATAATAGGACTGAATTGTTTTAGCAGTTATTAATTATTTTAGCAGTTATTGTTGTAATTATTTTAGCAGTTATTGTTGTTTTAATTAGGCACTGGGTGCTATTAGTGGGGGCAAGCGTAACTGCCTCTAGGCAGTTATTAGCAGAATAAAAATAGCAGAAGAAGCAGAACAGTTAAATGCCAAGACTTAGGTTTGTTAATAGGTCTGAATTGTTTTAGCAGTTATTGTTGTAATTGTTTTAGCAGTTATTGTTGTTTTAAATAGGCACTGGGTGCTATTAGTGGGGGCAAGCTTAACTACCTCTAGGCAGTTATTAGCAGAATAAAAATAGCAGAAGAAGCAGGACAAAGGTTAGGCAGTTTTTGAGTGGTTTTGGAAGGGAGAGACCAAGCTCTCGAACATCTTGTGAGGGAACCTTTGTACTCAAATCAGTTTACTAAATTTCCTATATAATTTGTATTTTGTACCAGTTAAATTGAATTAAATTCAATCTTTATTCTCATACCAGTTGGTGTCTATCAACTGGTATCAGAGCAACACGTTCCTGGAGACTAATTCATGGTGTCGACACGCAGTATGGAGGCGACAGTGGAGGCTTTGGAAAGGGGGTTCGAAGGTTTGCTGACGATGCGTGAAACAATAGTGAAGAGCGCAGAACAGTTAAATGAAGTACAGGCCTCAGTGCGAGAAATTCGTGCAAGACAGGAGGAAGAGAACAACGAAGCAAGCCACACAATCCTTCCGAGCAGGCCACAAGGGGGCCACAATGGTGGGCGATACAAAGTGGATAGGTGGAGAATGTTAGAGATACCTGTTTTTGATGGAGAGGATGCATATGGCTGGACAACCAGAGTGGAGAGATACTTTGATTTGAAAGGGATGTCTAGAGAGGAAAAATTACAGGCGGTTATGGTGGCGATGGAAGGAAAAGCACTGACTTGGTATCAATGGTGGGAGTTCTCTACGCACCAACCGACTTGGGCGAATTTTCGAGCAGCGGTTATTAGGCGTTTCCAACCAACCATGGTTGACAATCCTTTTGAATTGTTGTTGAGTCTCAAGCAAACAGGTTTCGTGGAAGAATACAGAGAGAAGTTCGAACTCTATGCTGGTCCATTAAAGAGTGCAGAACCAACATACTTAAAGGGCATCTTTTTGAATGGGCTTAAGGAATTAATTAAAGTAGAATTAAAGCTTCACCCAACAGAAAGCTTGACTGATTTAATGGATTGTGCACAAAGAGTGGATGAGAAGAACCAATTGATCACAAAAGGGGGAAATTCAACAAGTATGATGAGCAGGCCAATGAGGACATATAACAATAATCGCACAGTGACGTGGGAACCGGGAGCGAAGCAATAGCCCCACATTTCTAGAACTGGCAGTTCTATAGGAGAGGGAAGTATGGTGAAACCTTCTAATACTTTCAGAGGAAGAAGCTTTAGAAAGTTAACAGATCCAGAGTTACAAGAGAGGTCTAGGAAGGGATTGTGTTTCAGGTGTGATGAAAAGTTTGGTCCAGGCCATGTGTGTGCACACAAACAATTACAAATTTTAGTGTTGGCCGAAGGGGAAGAAGAAGGGGATGCAGAGGGAGAAATTACGGTGGTTGGTGAAAACGGAGAGCTAACACACCTTCAGTTATCTATGTGTAGCATTGTTGGCCTTACATCAAAGAAAACAATTAAATTGTGCGGTAAGATTGGGGAAGAACAGGTCATGGTACTTATTGATTGTGGAGCCTCTCATAATTTCATTTCAACCAAGTTTGTGAAACAACAGAAACTGGATATGTATGCAACCTCCATTTATACAATGGAGGTGGGTGATGGAAGAAAGCTGGATTGTGAAGGGGTGTGTCCTAAATTGAAGTTGGAGATACAAGGTCTAAACGTTCAACAAGATTTCTATGTCTTTGATCTTGGAGGAGTGGATGTGGTGTTGAGAATGGAATGGCTGGCTAGTCTAGGAGAAATAAGAGCAAATTTTCGTGAATTAACTCTTAGAATTCCGATTGCGGACGGATATCACACACTGAAGGGAGACTCCGATTTAACGAGAGCTTTAGCGTTTTTAAAGTCTATTTTCAAGGCTCTACGTGATCAAGGTCATGGATTCCTAGTAACATACTGTCAGATGCAAGTTGAAAGCAAAGAACTAGCAACTTGTCCCGCTTGGACAGAATTGGTTTTGGAAGATTACGATTCAATCTTTCAAGAGCCGCAAGGATTACCACCTCCCAGAAGGCAGGACTATGCAATTCGATTGAAGGGAGGGTCTAATATCCCCAACCTCCGACCGTATAGGTACCCACAGTATCAAAAGAATGAAATTTAAAGGTTGATAGATGATATGCTTAAATCTGGTATAATTAGACCTAGTGTTAGTCCTTATTCGAGTCCTATAATCTTGGTGAAAAATAAGATGGTGGATGGCATTTTTGTGTAGATTACCGGGCTCTTAACAAGATTACTATACCAGATAAGTTTCCTATCCCTATTATTGATGAATTGTTTGATGAACTGGGAGGAGCCGTGATTTTTTCCAAGTCGGATTTACGATCCGGTTACCATCAGATCAGGATGAGGGAAGACGACATTCATAAAACAACTTTTCGGACTCATGAAGGGCATCATGAGTTTGTTGTCATGCCTTTCGGGCTCACCAATGCACCTTTCACTTTTCAATCTCTTATGAACGAGGTGCTAAAGTCGTATTTGAGGAAATTTGTGCTTGCTTTCTTTGATGATATTCTGGTTTACAGTAAGGGTGAGGATGAACATCAGAGGCATTTAAGAGTAGTTTTGGCATTATTGAAGGAGAACCAATTGTTTGCTAACAAGAAAAAATGTACTTTTAGCCAAACTCAATTGGAATACTTGGGTCATATCATTTTAGCAAAACGGGTGGCAGCAGATCCACGAAAAATTGATGCTATGTTAGATTGGCCAATACCAAAGGATATTAAAGCTTTGAGGGGAATTTTGGGATTGACAGGTTACTATAGAAGGTTTGTTAGAGACTATGGTAAGATAGCCAGACCTTTAACTCAACTATTGAAGAAGGATAAATTTCAATGGAATGCTAAAGCACAAGCTGCCTTGGACAAATTAAAACACCTGGTGGCCAAATTGCCTATATTGATTGTCCTCGATTTCTCCAAAACATTTATTATCGAAACTGATGCATCAAACAAAGGGCTCGGGGCGGTTCTAATGCATGAGGGTAGGCCTGTGGCTTTCCTCAGCCAGACTTTATCTGATAGGGCCCAATCTAAGTTAGTATATGAGAGAGAATTAATGGCGGTTGTGATGGCTGTACAAAAATGGAGGCACTGCTTGTTCGGAAGGCACTTTATAATTCTGACTGATCAGAAGAGCCTTAAATTTCTGATTGAACAACAACTAATAAGCGAAGAATACTTCAGGTGGACCTCAACACTTATGGGTTTGGATTTTGAGATATGTTATAGACCAGGAAAGGAGAACGGAGTGGTTGATGCTCTTTCTATAAAAATGACATTTTCTGCTTTGTCCTCAGTCCACTTTGAGCAAATAGCAAATTGGGAATTTGAAATTCATCAAGATCCTAAGCTTCAAGGGATAATTCATGATTTGATAAAAGATTCTAATTCCCATCCGGGCTATAAATTTCAGAATCAAAAGTTATTTTATAAAGGTCAGTTAGTCCTGCCAAAAGGCTCTTCCCGAATACCATTATTGTTACAAGAATTTCACAACTCTGCTATAGGGGGACATTCGGGTTTCTTTAGAACTTATAAAAGAATCTCTGAAGTTTTGTATTGGGAAGGCATGAGGAAAGACATCCAGCATCATGTAGCTACGTGTGAGACGTGCCAAAGGTATAAATATCAAGCTCTATCTCCGGCGGGACTTCTTCAACCACTGGCCATACCCAATCAAGTGTGGGCTGATATATCAATGGACTTCATTGAAGGGCTTCCCAAGGCTCAAGGAAAAAATGTCATCTTAGTAGTGGTTGATAGATTGACAAAATACGCTCATTTCGTTGCACTTAATCATCCTTTTACTGCAAAAAAGGTTGCCGAAGTTTTTATCACAGAGGTAGTTAAATTGCACGTGTTCCCCTCTTCTATTGTATCGGATCGTGACAAAATATTCCTAAGTCACTTCTGGTCAGAATTGTTCAAATTGGCCGGCACTCGCCTCAAGTTTAGCACCGCATACCATCCCCAAACAGATGGCCAAACTGAGGTGGTCAACCGGTGCTTAGAGACTTATCTGAGGTGCCTCACTAGAAGTAAGCCTAAGCAGTGGCCTAAGTGGCTGAGTTGGGCTGAGTTTTGGTTTAACACCAACTACAATAGCTCTCTAAAATTGACTCCTTTTAAAGCATTGTATGGCCGCGATCCACCCCATCCTCTAAAAGGAACCACTATTCCGTCAACTGTGGAAGAAGTGAACATGATGACTTATGACCGGGATCAAATGTTACATGATCTCAAGGAAAATTTGGTCACAACCTAGAATCAAATGAAGAAGTATTCTGACCAATCTCGACGTGCAGTATCCTTGGCTATTGGTGATTGGGTGTATCTCAAGTTCAAGTCGTATAGGCTACGGTCATTGGCTCGAAAGAGAAATGAGAAGATGAGTCCACGTTTTTATGGTCCTTATCAGATCACAACAGATTGGAGGAGTTGCTTTTCAGTTAGCCCTTCCACCAGAGAGTAAAATCCACCCTGTGTTTCATGTTTCTTTACTCAAGAAGGCCCTCTCTCCCTCAGAAAATCCTCAACCTTTACCACCTATGTTGTCGGAAGAGTTGGAATTGCAGGTAACCCTAGCTGCTGTGAAAGCAGTGCGTAACACTGCTCACGGGACTGCCAAAGTGCTTATTCAGTTGACTGACCTGCCAGAATTTGAAGCCACTTGGTGATGGAATCATGCCTAGGAAGGCAAGGGGTGACACATTGAAGGAGTCAAGAGGAATTGGCTAGACATGAAGGTTTGGGCCAATCAAGGCCCAATGGGCCCGATGGGCCTGGAAGGCCCAATTTGAGATTTGTTTTATTAAATGTTCAAACTAGAGAATTGCTTGTATCAAGAAATGTAATATTTCATGAACTCGTGTTTCCTTATTTTGATTTGAAAACGAAAAATGATCAAGTTAACAGCATTCTCCAAGAACATAGTCATTCTTCAATTTTTGACCTTGAACCAATCACTTGTACTCATCATCATCCCACTGATGATGGGACTAATATTTTTACATCCAAACACACCCGTGACTGTTTCATCCAATGACGATAACCCTGCTAATATTGCCATACCAATCACAAATAACCCCCAGACTAATATTAGAATGAGAAGACCACCTAGGTATCTAAGAGACTATTATTGTAATGTTAGCACTATTTCATCTTCACTTGAGTGTGTTGTGGTGCTTTGAGAACCCAATTTTTTGAAAACCCTCCTTGGGAAGTTGTCCCTTGGTGTGGATGTCATGTTGTTCTCCTCTAGGACTTAGTTGGTACTGTGTATGGGCAAGGTCAAGACACACATGTATGAAGCGACCACAGTATAGGGGTCAGGTTGAGATATACTGATTACAAGTGACTAAAATCGAGTAAAGTACGAAGTTGAGAACTTAGTTCCTAACCAAGTATCAAAAGGTTGTAGTATTTGGAGGATAGTTAGTAGGCTAACCCCATAGGAGGCTTAGTTAAGCTAGCTAATACCGTGGTAGGCCTATACCTAGTTGTTCTATCCTAACATAGTGCTATACTTCCTTGTTTAAGTGGCGAAGTTTGAGAAACTGAGTTTTCGTGTTGTGGGTTGATATCCAATTTGTTGTTGATCTAGAAAGCCCAAAAATATCACTTGTGTTGTCGGTTTGGTAGGATCTAGCTACTTAAACTACTCACCCTGTGTTGTAGGAGATCTTCGAGTTAAAATGCGTAAAAATGCATAGAGATGATGTGTTGAACTGTGTTGATAAGTGTTGTTGTGTTGATTCAATGTTGAAATGTGTTGAGATATTATGTGTTCTTCATATGTTGGTTGAATTGTGAAGAAATGAGTTGTTGTGTTGATTAAAAGTTGCATTGTGTTGTGTGTTGTATGTTGTGATGTTAAGTTGTAGAGTTGTTTAAGATGTGATGATGTTGTGATGATAATAGAATGTTTATATATATGTGTGTGTGTGTTTTATTTTCTTTACCTAGCTTACCTTTGCCTATTTCCATGTGGTATGGATTGCGATAATCATACGTGGTATGGGAGCAAGACAAGGATAAACTGAAGTATAGTAGTGGAGGCCACCAGTAGCGTAGGAGTTGGGTTTATTTTGTTGACTACTGGATGTAGTAGATTTTTGTATAGTTGTTCATAGTTGCTTGCAAAGCAACTCAATTGTATATATTTATGTATATATTTGCCTTATATATATATATATATATATATGTGCTATTAGTGGGGGCAAGCTTAACTACCTCTAGGCAGTTATTAGCAGAATAAAAATAGCAGAAGAAGCAGGACAAAAGTTAGGCAGTTTTTGAGTGGTTTTGGAAGGGAGAGACCAAGCTCTCGAACATCTTGTGAGGGAACCTTTGTACTCAAATCAGTTTACTAAATTTCCTATATAATTTGTATTCTGTACCAGTTAAATTGAATAAAATTCAGTCCTTATTCTCATACCAGTTGGTGTCTATCAAATTCTAATTACCATGTGCCACTCTTAGTTTCACACACACTTTGGCCTTGATTCACACTTAACCCAAAGAAGGGTAAGTTTGAATAAGTTTTTCCAAAAGCACTTATACATGAGTTTAAAAGAGATTTTGGAAAAGTTAATAGAAGAAAACTTCTACAAATTAGCTTATCCCTAAACTAATTTTAACTTATGGAGAAGTTTATTTCATTCTTCCTTTATATTTTGTTTTCTTAGAATTACTCATAGAGAAGTTTACCCAAACAGAACCTAAATAAATAATAATAAGAAAAGACTGGGGGAGGAAAAGGAAAATCTACAATCAAACTCCATTCCAGTTTCTGGTGTAGGTTTTGGACCATTAATGCACCATAAAATTGTTCATATAAATTACAACTAAGGCAACAGAATCAGTTCAGGTATAAGGGGGTAATAATTGATGAGCATACCTCAATGGGAGTTGATAACTTCTTTTTGCAAATTTTGTCATATTTTTGCTTTTTGTTGACAGCTTGCAGACCCTGCCAAGGAAGGCTAAAAATTTGCAGGAACCAAATTGTCAAGCCCTACATAGCTGGTAAACTGATATTGACACGCAACATTTTTATGAAATCTGTATGCATGCAAAAATTACAGCCAACAGGATAAGACATACCTTCCTCTTAAAAAGTACATTAAAACATACCCAAGAGACTCCAAATCATCTCGTCGGCTTTGCTCTAAAGAAGTAACATCAAAATTGAGGAAAAAAATGTAGGTCACAATTAATATAATGCTAATAGCATAAAGAAGGCAAAATTCTTTCTACTTACCAATTCCTGAGTGAGTATTGTAACTTGCATAACGTGCAGTCCCTGTTAAGCCCTTGTTCTCTCTGGATAAGTTATCAAGGTAAAAGCAAACATTCAGCAGCAATAACCTGGCTAATTAAATTTAAACTGGTGAAGCACAAGTAACATTGAGAATGAATCGATAAATAATCTACAAATAAAAAATTGTTTGGAATTTCATGGACTACGAGTTAGAAGGCTTCCCATTGATTAGCAACAATATGCATTTACTTTTATAAACAAAAGGCTGTATATCTTTTGCAAACTTACTGCACGGACAGGTATGAAAAGTCTTCATGATTATAAACTTTTACATATAATATACAGTGTATCTATTGTCATATTTTTCATATAGAGAAAGAAAGGTATTGGAGATTCCACATCGACTTATGAGATGGTCATACTAATGTATTTAAGTAGGGAACAATTATCACGTTACAATTGTAAGGTTGAATTAGGCTCTCAATCCATTTTTTTAAGATAGTATTACAGTCTATCCTAGCGATTATTAATTGTTGGACTTCTTAGATTAGCTTACATGAGAGAGCTGTTTTGGAGATCCAACATCGACTAATGAGATGATTATACTAGGATCAATTTTCTCCTTACAAGTTTGTAAGGCTAAGTTAAGCTCCTAACCCACTTTCTAAAGAAAAGGAAAGATCTTTAATTTTAATCCTACTCCTTTTATCCTATCTAGACTCAATGTGGATGTTCAATGATTAATGGACCCTAAATCTAAATAAATAACACTTTTCCCTGTAACACATTACCTTTTTCAAAACATATTTTACTCTATATCAAGCAAGCCATAGTATTGAAACAGTTTAATTTCCTTTTACAGTACTTTCATAAACCAGTAAGCTAATGAAAAAACCATTCCACTTAGTTGGCATCTTATCATGTAAACGAATCTGTCTTTTCACTAAGAAATTATCTGCAGCAGAAGGGTTTCTCACCACATGACAGAAAAGAAGTTAACTTAGTTTGAGTGACTAGAAAACCTCTCAATACAAAAAGACCACGCACGGTAAAATATGAACCATAACAAGATATTAAATAAAAATAACAAAAATTACCTGTAAGGGATATGCTTATTTGTGATAGGGTCCTTATATCCTTTTGCTAGTCCAAAATCAATCATATAAACCTGTATGTGTAACAGATTGGCAGCAATTATATATTAAAAATTGCAAGCATAAGGGAATTACCACATAAAAAGGTTATGCACATAAGTTACCCGTTAAAGAGAATAAAATATGAATGCTAATGAAGCTACCTGATTTGCTTTCTTCCCAAGACCCATAAGGAAGTTATCCGGTTTTATGTCTCTATGCAAAAATCCTTTGGAGTGCAAATACTCTATCCTTGCAAGCTGAAGTTAATTAAAAAAAAAAAAAAAAAGACTAAATTACAATGATTCTTGCAATAGCATGCAAAACTAAGAAACCAGTCCTGAAAATCAGTCAATGATTACCATCTGATCAGCCAACATCAACACTGTTTTGAGTGAAAATTTATTCCCACAGAAGAAAAAGAGGTCTTCAAGACTCGGTCCAAGAAGTTCAATAATAAGAACATTATTGTCTCCATCAGTACCACACCATTTCATTCTTGGAATACCACCTTGAATTCCATAACTATGAGGAATCAGAATCTATTAAAAAATATACATGAAACCTGTTGCAAGAGCATTTGGATTCAACACAGTTGTGCTTCTGTTAACTTACTTCCTCCTTGAAGCATACTATATAACTTGGACTCATACAGTAGCTGTGGCTGATTGGTTTTCCTGCTCTCCTATAGAACAAGAAATACTGCTCTTACAAATCACTGCTAGATCATATCTGATTATCAAATAACAGAACTCACTGGTATAAAAAGATAATAGAAAAAGTGAAACCTCTTGGGAAAAGAGGAGTGTAACCATACAAGAGTCTGTGGCACTATATTTTGGTTGTTCAGGATATCCTCTGGCCGGGAGCCAAAGACTGATCCCTTAAAATCTCACTAGCTTGAATGAAACTGTGCAATCATACATGACAGAGATTATCACAATCTCTTTTTCAACACTCTTAAGATTCAAATGTCTCTCACTAGTTTCAAAATAAACTAGCCAAAGGACAACTCACATATTTAACATTTGAAGAATGCTAGACATTTTTTCTAACACTATAATAATCTAAAATTTATTAGAAATTACAAATTTTGTGGCTCTCACTGTTCATTGATTGCTTTTCTAATTTAGTGGTCGAATACATCAAAATTTGTAATTTTAAACTAATAGCAGAGAGGGTATTAGCCGAGATAGTTAAAAAGAGTGTTACTAGCATTTATGCTAATAGTTTAATACAAATAGCTTATTCAAACACCTATTTTTATGTAAGCAGCAGCATTCATCCAACTGCAAAATGCTGGCATGAAGTGACCTTTTAGAAAACTATATGCACCAAAGTAGATATTATGAAGGAAAAGAAAAAATATGATTGAAACATGCATTTACAAAAGTGCATTATGATCAAACCATGACTTCGCATATCTGATTTTCCGTAAATAGCTTAATCAAGCTTGAAACTTGAAAATACAAAAAGTTTGCAACACAAATATTTTTAGTCAAAAACGGTTACAACAAATTAAAGTACAAGAGTATAATCTCTTACAAACTACACGTGCCCTTCAATCTTTTACTGGCTTTAACACGCATGAAAAATATATAAAAATTAAAAAATAAGAGCCAAAAATTGAAGTTACTCAAAAATTGAACTAAGACTCACCATCTTGATGGCCACAAGTTCAGAAGTCTCGATATGTGCCCCTGGAAATGGCAAAACATTTACATGTTAAATAAATAGTAATAATAATAATAATAATAATAATAAACTCCTAATTTAGTCCACCAAAACTATATACGCTATCACATAAATTCTCCAAAAATATTAATTATTGAATTAGTTCTTTAAATATCGTTTTTATCATCACTTTAATTCTCTTCAAATTTTATTATAAGTTACTCCTTAAAAATGTCATGAATTTGACCCTCAACAATCTAAAATTTTTTGGTAAGTCAGAAGATAAATATTATTTGAGAATGTAATTTATTAACTAAATTTTTTTAAAAAAAATTGAAAATATATCTTCTTCTAATAATAATATCAATAATAATAATAATAATTAAAAGTTCCCAACCAATGTAAATTTCACCGAATGATCCGCTCCCAATTTTTTTCCCGATTTTATACTTCCCTCCGAGGACCCTCTCCATTAAAACCGAAGGAATGAAACGACAGTGCGAAAAATCTCAATGGCGATAGCTATACGACGTTCCGAAAGACGAAACGACGAAGCTTTAGAGGTTCGCGCAGAGGGGAAGCAAAAAACGAGCTTTGTTTTGGTGTGAGAACTCAAGTTGGTGTGCATTGGTTTGAAGTATATTTGAAGAGAAATGGGGGAGCGAGAAGATAATACATTACATGGTGGGGTTAGTTGTGGAATAACGTTTTTTGTATTTAAAAGTTTGTTGATGACGTGGACATGACAAATATCCAGCCAGGTAGCGTGCATGCGTTGCATTACTTTTCAATTTCGTTGTCCCTAAAATCAGCCGCACGTTACTTTGGCCGTAGAACACATTTTATGGTTTCATGATTTTTTTTTTTTTAAGATTTATTGTGCCTTTTCAATGGCTCAATTGGATCTTTAATTTTTATTCTAACAAGATATTTACTCGTGCGATATGCGGTTAATGAATAAATGAATAAGACACATTTTTGCAGAAATTAAAATTAATGAAAAATAATTTATTAAATTATATTATAAAAGATTTATTGTGCATTTGTGAATTAAAAAAAGTTATCGAAGTTACTTAAAAAAAATGTGATTGTTATAGAATGCCAAATTTATAAAATATGATTATAATCTTAAGAGTTATACAATTAGATATTTTTTTTTTACTTTTTGTTTTTAAGAAAAAGTCTCAATAAGTACATTTATTAAAAATTATGACTTGGTCATGCCAGACGTGAAAGAGAAAGAAAAGTTTTTAATTTGGTCACGTTGAATGTGGGTTGTACGCATTGGACGTAAGGAGAGAAAAATGTCTCTAACTTGATCACATCAGACCTAAGTTTGAGTGGCGCCTAATTTGACCAACATAAAAAGTCTCTATCTAAAATAGGGATAGACATGGGTTTAGTCACGTCAAACGTGAGTTCAATAGAGACTATCTTCCTCACTCATGTTGGATGTAGGTTGAGTAGATTCAGGCATGGGTAAGCCCGAGAGTTCTTTGTCTCAATGATGTCGAACGTGGGTTATCTTATGAAAACTTGTTGTTTTCTTGATAAAATGGTGAATATGTGTAAGTTAGTTGAATCTATTACATGTTTTATGTTGATTATGTGGTTAGTTCTTTATGCATTAATCTGGGATAATGTGTATTGATAATTAAATGGTTGATAGCTGAATGTAGTTGAATGGTGTTGGTTTTATAAGCCTTAATCAGGGATAATGTTTATAGATGATTAAATGTTAAATTGTTGGAGAGTTGATCCTGAGAATGCTTAAGGCATTAAGGCATGTTGTGTTGATTGACTTAGGACCATAGGAAGAGGTGTTTTAGATAGTTGATATTTCATTGTGAGAATACTTTTGTGATGCTCTACGAGCCTAGTTATTGAAAAATCATTTTGAGTAGTTGACTCTTGAAGTGAATGGTTGAATCTCCTCCAAGACCTTAGTTAATGCAGTATGTTGGCAAGGTCGAGACATATCAATTATAAGTGACCACAATATATGGGGCAAGTCAAGCTATATTGGTTTGGTAGGGTTGTTGGAGAGAAAAATGTACACTAGAAGGGGGTTGAATAGTATATATCAAAAACTCATGCTTTTTGCAGTGAGGGAGTGAAGAGTACAAACAGACGAAGTACTGGAGAGTAATCAGACGAAGTAATGAAGCAAACAAAATGACACAAGTATTTTTATACTAGTTCGTCTTCAACCCAGAGGCTACATCCAGTTCTCAATCCAACTATATTGAGTTCCACTATCTTATGCAAGATACAAGTATTATTTACAAGCCACTTCTGGCTAAAAAACAAGTATTCTTTACAAGCCACTTCTGGCTAAAAGCCAAGTATTCTTTTAACAATTTTTTCCAAGCTTGAACCCAAGTATTCTTTAACACAAGCCTCTTTAGGTTCAACCACTAAGTATTCTTTTGCACAAATCTCTCCAAGCTCAACCCTTACAAATAAGTTTGATAAGAGTTACAAGTATGGTTTCGTCTCTTCTAGACGTGATGCTATCAAAATATAGCACAAAAAGAACTACAAAGAGCTAGATACAATATTTGCTATGAAGATCTTCTTTGTAGAATATCATATTTGGATTTCTTACTGTGTGAGTGTCAGAACTCGAAAAATTTTGATCTTGCCCACAGATGGTTTGACTTTTGTTTAGAAAATCTCATTAATTAGGGAATGTTCAAACACCAGACTAATCCCTAACTAATGGTTTTGAAAAGAGTTCATGGAGTCGCCATCGATATTTTACTCAAAACATCGAAAAAAGGAGAAAAGAATTTTGAAATACCAAATAGCCTTTATAACCAAAATCATTTTCATGGTTCAATTACTTGTAGGGAAGGTGTTAAGCATTCTACTAAGCCCTGAATCGGTACCTTATAATGAAACTAGTCCAATTGCAAACAATAATTTAAATATTAGGTTCCCTTTTATTAATAATTATCTACATATTTACATGGTTTGCCCTAAAATGTCTACATGATTGCTTTTGTTTATGACAGACAAGATAAATGGTAGAGAAAGATACCTTTTAAATTGAGCTTTTATAAATACTTCTGAATGTGGTAAATTTAAGGTACTTTTTGGCTACCTTTTCACACTTTACAATGCGTCACAAATATCAAGAAATAAAATAAAAGAGAGAAAATAGTACTAGATTTTGGAGGGACTAGTCAGATCTAAAATTTTCGACCCTAGCACTGTGCACGAGCCTGCTATTTATAGGTATGGAAATCCACCAAAATGGGTCATTTTGATTTCAGAACGGGCCATTCTGAACTTTGCTATTGTGTGTAAAATTTAAATTTAGAACGGCCCGTTCTAGAACCGGAATGACCTATTCCGGATTTCAATTTTACTTATAATAACCTATGTCGAAACGATCAGTTCTGGTCTAGGAATGTCCCTTTTTGACATATGGGTTTTAAGTCTTTTTAGTAATTTGGAATGGTCTATTCCGGGCTCCTAATTCACCCTTTTTGGGCTTTGGGCTTTGGGTCTTCTGATGTCATGCTTGACTATTCTGATGTCAATTTTGGACTTTCGAAAACTCCTTATCTTCATGCTAAAAGTCCATTTCTTTGTTTGCGTGTTTCGAATGAAATCAGGTGACTATAGATGCCCCTCTATACTTGTCCTTTTGGATAGCTATGTGTTACTTTTCCAAAGGCAAGTAAAGAAGTAGACATTTTGTCCGGGTCTTCTCTTTGTTTCTTCGTACAGGTGCTTCCACATCATTTCTTCTAGTTGTTTCTCTATGGTGGTGAGGTGAAGACCCGAGTCTTCTCTTTTGCTTTGCTAGTAGGTGCCTCTACGTTATTTTCTTTATGTAGATGGGTTTACCTGTATCCTTGCCCTTTGGAGTAGTTGAGTGTTGAATTGCATGCTCTGTTGGGTGACGAGGATGGTAAACTATACCATCTAGGCATCCGACTTGGTATAGAGACTCTATGTTGTTTCTGCTTATTTTGTGGTAATGTGACTTTATTCATTGCTCACTAAAGAGGGAGTATATTCTGAGTCCAGCCTCTCCAGGCTGAACTGATATTAAGGCTTTAGCTGGCCTATGATGGCAGATACTTAACGGTGATCCTTGGTTTTGACTTGAGGTACTCAGCAGTGCCCTCAATTGTTGCTCACTAATTTGAGGAACTCAACGGTGTTGTCAAATCAAGATGAGTGTTGACACCCTTTGTGAAGGTGGACGTTAGAACCTTTGGCAGATACTCGCTAGTGATCCTTAGTTTTGACTTGAGGTACTCGGTGGTTCCCTCGATGTCACTCACTAAGTTGAGGAACTCAACAGTGTCTTCAAATCCAGATGAGTGTTGACACCCTTTATGAAGGTGGATGTTGGAACTTTTAGCTGATACTCGACGATGATCCTTAGTTTTGACTTGAGGAACTCAGTGGTGCCCTCGATGTCGCTCACTGATTTGAGGAACTCGATGGTGTCTTCAAATCCAGATGAGTGTTGACACCCTTTGTGAAGGTGGATGTTAGGACCTTTGGCGGATACTCGACGGTGATCCTTAGTTTTGACTTGAGGTACTCGACGGTGATCCTTAATTTTGATTTGAGATACTCGGTGGAGCCCTTGATGTCACTCACTGATTTGAGGAACTCGATGATGTCTTCAAATCCATATGAGTGTTAACGCCCTTTGTGAAGGTGGACGTTAAAACCTTTGATGGATACTCGATGGTGATATTTAGTTTTGACTTAAGGTACTCGGCGATGCCCTCGATGTCGCTCACTGATTTGAGGAACTCGACGATGTCTCCAAATCAAGATGAGTGTTGACACCCTTTGTGAAGGTGGGCGTCAGATCCTTTCATGAATACTCGACGGTGATCCTAATTTTGATTTCTGTAGGCCCTAAGGCTGACGAGCAAGGGATGCTTGAAATGCCCCTGTTTCATTTTGAGATTAGTAGGATGTTGGTGATGCCCTGCTAGATGAGTATTGTGATGCCTCTTTAGGTGTCTTCATTGGGGAATGAAATGTGTGGCAGGGATTCTGGTATTATTCCTGTCGTGTGAGTATCGTGTTGCCTCTCCAGGCATTTTCTAGGGATGGCAGAGTTTCTTGGAGGATTTTGATGGAGTAGTTCCTTCCATGGATGATGATAGTGTGATGAAGGGAAGACCTTGCCCTTGATCTAGGTTCACCAAGGGGTAGACAAAGGAAGGTTTTTGTGGGACAAAAGGGAGATGGGCGTGAAAGGAGGTGTTGGGCGGAAGCATATGGTGAAAGGTGTTTGGGTGCTCACAAGGTTGGCTCACTCCAAGTGAAGGTGGAGGCCACTCTAGGTTTCCTACTCTCCAAGGGTGGAGATAGGAGGGGGTTAGACGAATCCAACCTAGTGACTAAGGAAGAGATGTTGAGGCATAAAATGCTCACTCAAAATCTATATATTCCAAAGTATTTACAAGTGGTGGGGTGTTGGGTATTTATAGGAGGGGAGGCATCTAGGGTTGCATTTGGAGTAGGCAAATGCATTCCAAATGAAATGCAAATGAACCCTAGATGCAACTTGGTGGCCAAGGATGGAATCT